ATCAACCTAGTATTAGATTATATGACTACATAGATAAGAACCAAGATAAATGTAAATGCAGCTAATCCAAGTATCGCACCAAAGATCCAAAAAGCCTTCTGAAGCAAACATAGTGAAGTAAAAATATCACGGTGTTTCATCTACATCATTGACACAAAAAGAGAAAGAAAAACTATTGAAGAGGTTAACAAAATTTTGAAACTTAATTTGTGAACTAGTATGCTAAAAAAGGCATTGCATACCTATTCTTGGCTTTCATCATTACATCATTAGACTGCATGAGAAAAAGAAAAATAAAAGTGCCTTTTAAATTCAAAAGCATCGGGAACAGTGTTTTAAGACCAATATCTTATAGAAATACTAAAAATATACAATCATAGGTCTAAAAAGCTTTGGGTCTTTTTTGGATGGAAATGTTTTTGTTTGATATACATCACAAGACGAGACTAGAGCAGAACTAATCAACCAGAACAGAACTAATTACAAGATAAGAAACTTAATCACAATAATTTCACATTTGCTGAATACCTTAAACTACTAAAACAAAAAATGAAACCAATTAAAATTTTCTTTTTTGTAATAATATCTTTTCCAATTTTCAAATAAAACCTTAGTTCTTGTCCTAAGTATCTCATTTTACTTAGATGTTAGCAATTAAATACCTTATCAAGCTTAAAAAAAAAGTTCTATTTAATAAAGAAACTATACAAAACAAAGGAATTAAATTTCGTTTCAATAAGAAACGAAATTGTTTGATTCTCATTTAACTTATAGAATTATATAAAGAATGACAAAGGAATAATCTTACAACCAAAAACAACATTTATGGAAGACTGGGAAAGGCAATGATCTCTAATGTTGTGAACAATATAACTAACTCTTTGAATATTGATGACTTTGGCAGTAATGGTGGAGATAGCTTTTCCACAAGTCCATTGCTTTTCCTTTTCCCCATAGCATATTACAATTAGAACAACACCAATCTCATTTGTCTACACATTACACTTAGAACAACCAAATTAAAGGTGTCAATTAATCTTTGACACCCCGATTAATCAAATTTTTTTTAATTTTTTTTATGTAGTTCAATCTAGAACTCATTGGTGTAATATTGCAATATTGAATCAGATGAGTCTACAAAAACAATCAAATATAAGCTATTACAACATTGATAACCATAACAATATCAATTCAAAACCCATAAAATAACATGCATGAAAAAAAAATAATTAAACATAAAACCGATAGCTTCCATCAATACACAATTCACAATTACCAACTTAAACAAAAAAACCCTAGCTTAACAAAAAAACAAAAAACACCATGCACAAAAATAAAAAAATCCAAACACAAAACTCATACCTAAAAATCCCATAACCACATAAAAAGAATAACCTACATAATGCTGGAGAAATATAAATAATTAATCAAACAACATGCATGCACAAAAATAACAACATCACAACATCATTAGAAACACATTGACAAAAATTGAATCAACTATAAAAAAGAGTGAAAAAACTAAGAAATCAAATATGAGAAGAAGAGAAGAAACTCACTTGAACAAAAAAAAGTCGTAAAATTTTTTTTGAAAGAATAGCTGAGCTAAGAAGAAAAAAAGAAACTCACCTAAAAAACACAGAAAATAGTAAAAAAAAAAAAAAGAAGTGAGAATAAGGACAACACAAAGTTTTTTCAAACAAAAAAAAATCATTTCTCTATTTTTTTTCTTCTTTACTTGAGAAAAAGAAAGAAATTATTCATAAAATAAGAAAATGAGAGAAGCTTCTCGATTCATATTTTTTGGAGAAGCTTCTAGAAATTTTTTTTTCCATAAATTAACCTTTAATTTCTTTCTTTTACATTACTAAATTGTCCAAACAAAGATTAAAAGGGATCAATTTTTATATATAGGTATAGATATGTTAACCAAACCTTTTTTAATATATAAAGATCTAAAAAAAAAATTTGAATATTAAATCTTTAATCAATTTGTTTAATGAGAGGTGACAAACTTATATTTGTAATACAATTAACCACATTGTATTTTTCATTTATTGAATTATGACAGTAATTAGTCTCATTTAGCTATAAAAAAATATATAAAAACACGAAAATGGAAAATCTTTTGAATTGATGAAAATGATCATTGTTGGTTGCTATATTTCTAAATTGCCATTGTAAATACTTTTTATTATTAATAAAATTTATCTAATTTGGTCAAAAGTTGCCATAGGTCCCTGTATTTTTTTATTTTTTGGAATTTAGTCCCTCTAGTATTATTTAAAGAAATTTAATTCTTATAATAATATTTCTTAAAAATTTTAGTTCAATCGTTAACAATGTGCATCAACTAAATTCCTTAAAAAATAATATTATAAGAACTAAATTTCTTAAAAATAATAGTACAAAGACTAAATTCTTTTAAATAATATTATAGGGAATAACTTCCTAAAAATCGAAAAGTAGAGATACCTATGATACATTTTAACCATATAATTTTAAGTAAGAATTTTAATTTTATTAAATGACTTTGTTAAATAAATTTATTTGATAATAAATAAAAATGTTAAAATTTACATTGAATTGCTTCATTTTCAAAGTTTTAATTTTTCATTAGTCTTAGGAAGTAAATGAATTTATTTGATAAATAAAAAAGAGTTAAAGTTTTCTTTATCTTTGTAATTGTAGTTTTGCATTAACAATAAAAATAATAAAATTTATATTTATTTGATATAATTTACACATGAAACAAACTGCCATATTAACACAAATTTTGATTAATATACATTTTATTGGTTTTATTTATTTATAAAATGTACAGCTATATATTTAAATATAAATAAAATCGAGAATATTTCACCTACAATTATTGTAGTATAATTAACCAATAACAATTTAAAATTGTGTGGGATCCATAAAAAATTTGTATAGAACTCACACTTATAAGTGATGGCCTTTTGTATAATTCTTTATTACGATTGAATAATTATAAAATTATAGTAAAAAGAATTATAAATGATATGCTTCCGATAAAACCATCAGTATTCGAGTGGAAACAACTACTAGTAATTATATGTTAATGGTAATAAGATTTATTCAATGTATGGAAAAGGATTTTAATTATAATAAAGCACTTTCATTAAAATGATTTACCTTTTTCATGAGATAAAATGATTTACTTGGTTTAGAATTTTTTGTTCATTATATTTTAAAATTATAGCCATATTAAATTAAAAATATTAAAATTAATTTCACATATAATGAAATAAAATTTTAATTACAATAATTAAAATATTATTTATATTTATTAAGACTTCTATATATCCAATAACCAATAAATTGTCAATCTTATAATCAAAATTTTAAAATAAAAATGTAAGGAAGGTCTAATTTCACGTGACATGAAAATTACTATATATAAATATTAATATGTATACAAGTTTTAATTGATAAAAAAATCTTTAATATTAATATATATTTCTAAATTTATATTTTTAATTATTTTTAATTAAAATTATTAATTAATAATAAGATTATCTTTTAGAATTTAGATGTTAAAGGGTTATAATTATACTGTGGAAGAAAAAAGAGTTATAGTTATATTGAATTACTTGCACGATAGAATGATTTTATTTCTAACATCATTTAATTACTTATCATTTTTTTTTATAGAAGTGCCATATAAGTTTGTGCTAAGTTGTTATAGCATTCTTAATTCTAATAGTATTGAATAATTTATAAATTAATATTATAAAGTTTTATACTATATAAATATTTTTATTCATAAGTAATTATTATTTAAAAATTAAAAAAAATTATTGATTCATTCTTAAATCAATTGAAATATCAGTAAAATTGACATTTAGATATTACGAATTCAAGAGAGCTTAAGAGTATAATTTTTTTTTAACCAAATAAATAATAGAATAAAAAGTATAAGAATAGATTATGAACTTAAAAAAATTTTAAAAATATTCACGCATGCAATAGTAAATACTAGTATATTTGAAGAGGAAGGGGGATTTGGATAATGAAAATAGGATATGATGGTACACCACATGATCAGCCTAAATATTCCAACTTCCAGGTAGAGCCTACTCCAAACGCTCCTTTGAGGACCACTGCTTTTATGAAAAATGGGCATGGTCCCTTTTTCCATGGGCCATTGCTCCACCTCGATGTTTAGAGTTTGCCGGTGGCAAAACGAATTCTAAACTAAAATCTGGTCTGACAAAGCTTGGAACGGATTATTAAATCCGATTTGATAAAAATAAAATAAAAATTCAAATCCAAAATTACTTGGACTTCAATATCTCAAATCTGAAATTTCTGAAATTCCAAAAATCTACTAAATGGTTACATATTTCATAAAATTTAAAAAATAATACAACTAGCTTGAATTGAATTGATTAAATTTGAAAATTGAATCCGAATTTGAAAATACCCGAACCCGCCCATTTGTTATCTCTGAACATCTTTGGGAGTTTCATATAGGGGGCAAAAGTACGAGTTTAAAGCCCAACAATTTTGAATGGAAGACAAAGATGATAAAAGGGTATGAAACTCCATGAAGAAATGCTAGACTACAAGAGTTTTTTCGGTTCACAGGTTGAATGAGTGCTGCAATTTTTCATGGCAGAACATTTCTTCCAAATTTAAAGGAGGTCAGATCAGAAAATTCTGGCAATTGTCAAAGGTTTAGTTTGGAGATACATTTAATTCAAGTACACCACAATGCTTTCAATAGCAAAGTGTCCCTTCAATGAGTGAATGGACATGGGAGATTCTATGGGGCTCTGGTGGGACTTAAATCCCGCTAGACGCAAAAGCTGACATGGAAGTGGTACCATTCAGTTCTTTTGGCTGTAATTAAACAGATAATAACATTGCTGAAGCTGCAACCCACATCCTAATTAACTCAAACTGAAACAAAAAGAATCAATATGATTATACATGGCTAACAGCTATGGAGAGAATTGCCATTAACCCATTAGATCTAAAGTTTTAGAAAAAGCTGTAATTCTATCAGTAATTGTTATAACAGCTTTGGCGAGAATAACCATTCCCAGCTAGATCATTTGTTACAAAACCAGCTGAAAGTAACAGGATACCCACGGGGTTCATGGGTAGTAAGAGAGCTGAAATCATTCAACGAACAAAACTCATTCCTGAAATAACAGTGTTGTATAGAATATGCACTGGATAATGACTGATGAAGAGAGTATGGTATCATCGTTTCTCCGGCAAACAAAAATAACAACAGTTTTTACCTTAGACGCTTCTTGACTTCAGTATTGTCTTGTTGTTCGGTGCATTTAAGTGTCTAACAACAGAATTATTATGTTAGCCTGCCCATTTCTGTGTCTTCATATCAAGTCACCATCTCTATGCACATCTTAGCTGCCTCGTATTTCCATTAGAGGTTGCTGGATTGCTATCGCTGCAGAATATTGAGTATAATGCAGTTTTCATAGCATCCAAAAACTCTTTCATACGTCTGTCAATATATATTTACCTGCAAAATAAAACAATAGAAAATTTCAAAATTAACATAGGATAAAAAGTTTAGGTTTTGATGCACAAAAATGTAGAACAGCGACTTGCTGTCAAGATATTAGGGAAATCTTTTGCAATCCCTACCAAAGACAAGAACTCCAAAAAATTTATGGTCAATACAAAATTCTTGGTTTGTTTTACATTTCCAAGCAAATAATTAGATACTCACATGTTTGTAGCGAAATTATTGCTAATTTTATATGAATGAGCTATACAATTGGGGAAGGTAATTTCTCTCATTTTTTTTTCTTTTTTCACGCGTATGTTTGAATGTTGATTTATGATTTTAAATAATAAAAAAAAGAACAAACATGGTTATATAATAAAGTCATGATTATATAATGAAGTTTTACTGAAAAATGTTTGTCAAAATCTAACATGCGTACACGTTTACACAAAAACACACCAAAATTACGACGTGTACGTGCATGTGCACATATATATTATTATAAATTGATGCTATATCAAATGGTAACATAAGTTAGTGAAAAAGGTAGATATGGTGGGTTGAATAACATGGTTTTAGGTGGCAATTAACATTATTTTAGCTAATTCTTTTTAATTAATTAAGCAAGTAGATGATTATAAGTTTGGGAAACATAGTGTTTGTATTATTATATTATTTCATCAAAACCTTTATGAATAACATAACATAGATGTTTGTAGCGAAAGAAAATGGCATAAAGATAAGAGAGAATTTCTTTTATAACACATCCACATATATAATTGCATTGACAACTGATACACAAACCAATTACAAATGCAACATAACTTTGATCCTCTGAATCAATTACCATATGCAGAGAGAGAACCAGAAATGAATGTAAAGTCTATAGAGTCCAAATAATGTGAGTTGAATCAAAGATGTGGAATGACCAATGCAAAGTAAATGACGCATGCTTAAATGAAAACATGCCTTGCCAAAGGATATTGCCATGCATCTGAATCTATAAATTAGGATAGATGCATGCAGAGAGAAAGATAGAATATAAATTTGGAGACACACACGGAAGGAATTCAGGCTACAAAGCCTATGCAAGTTCTGCTACCTATTAATCTAAAGTTCTTTTCCTATCCTAACTTTAATAATCTTTAGGCTTAAAGAGCACACTTACTTTGTTTAAACCCCAAATTGCCTTTCTGATAAGGCTACTTCAGCTGGCAGCACTATCATTGCTTTGGTCCTTCCTTGCTACCATAGATCTCTGATTTCTCACTGATGCAGTCCATGCCTTCTTTGGATTCTTTATCAGATTCACCATTCTCCAATTTGACCTTTCCCTGAAAAACATTTGGCTTTGCTTCTTCTGGACTTATTTGCCTAATAGGCAGCAGATAGGAAGATGCTTCACAGGGCTTCATGCTCTCTGCTTCCAGGATAGATTCAGCCCCATGGTTAGTGTTCAATGTGCGAACGTCTCCAGGTCTTTGAACATTGGTGATCCCAGTTATTACTTCCTCTTCACCTTTTTTAATGGAAGTAACAAACTCAATTTGAGCAGCCAGGACCTCCCTCTCAACTTTCACATTCTGAGGGTTTATGCGGAGACAAGTGGTGACATGTTCAGATGCTTTATTTTCTGTTTTTGTCAGGTTTTCCACCTCATTAGCTGCTTTTCTACTGATGTTACCAGATCCTGTAGCAATTTTCTTTGAAGTGAGATCCAATGCAGTAAATGGAGATTCATTTAATGTTTCATCTCCTTCACTTTCTTTCTTTTCAAGGGCTTCATTCTTTCTGCTAATGTTCTGTTGACTAACGTCAATTGCCTCACTGTTGATATCAACATCTATTTGTGTGGTCTTTAATTCATCATAGCGAACATGAGACTTCATATGTGCCTCTAGCGTCCCCACATCTTTGCCAAATTCCCTACTGAAAGTCCTATTGGTTCTTATTCTTTTAGCTTTAGGCATAAGTCTTTTCCTTGAACCCTTTGGCTCTTTCGCTAATTCAGCAATGCTGATCTTTAAGAAATCATCTTCCACAGCTTTTCCACTTTCTTTAATGCTACTGTTGTCTGATACCATGCTCCAGAACTCAGAATGAGACTTCACTACAGCTGCTTCTGCTTTAAACTCTGTGCTACCTTCTTTAGGAGCTTCAGAAAAGAAATTAGATTCATCTTCTTCAGGACTTGCCTCACCAGGTTCTTCCTTGTCACTGACTTTATTATTTACTACTTCACCAACTTTCGTTGGAATCACATCCACATTAGAGGCTAAATCCTCCATAATAACTTCAGTGTCCTTCCTCCATGCTTTTGAACTTGTCCTTTTGCCCTCTTTCTTTGCTTCTCTTTTCAGCTTGGACTCTGAACTCTTTGTCATTGTTTTTGCACCACTAACATTTCTTGAGTACTCTTTCATCACAGCTTCTCTAACATTACCAGTATCCAGTCCATCAGCCTTTCTAGCAGAATAGGGTTTGCTTTTCAACTTGAAATTGTCAGTTGGCATTACCTCAAGTTCAAACCGTTCTTTCCTCAAGTCCAACGCCTCCTTGTCACCATCTTCATACAGAATCCTATGCAGCCTATTCTTCTTATCAAAAGCTATAATGCATCCTGTGAACCATCTGCGTGAACCTGACCAGTAAACCTTGACTCTCTTGCCAACTACAAATTCATTGTCATTCTCCTCCAGATTAACCATGCGGAAAGCAGGAACCTCTTTCCTTGGACGAAGCCTGGACACACTTTTCTGTGGAGATAACAAATATGCACAAACTATTTCTCCGTCTGCACCCCTCTTTCTGTTCATTGGAGTGTTTACGTTCTTGTTGTCCTCCTCCTGCACAGTGTCTACCTCTATCTGTCCATTGCCAATAGGAACCTCTTCACCAGTCTGACTCTCCTTTAGCTTAGAATACTCTGCCTTGGACTTCCCTTTCATAGTTATCATTTCTGTACCTTCTTTTCCCTTATCATTGTCAATACAATGTCCTAACAAGCTTTCTTTTGCCCTGTATCTAATGCTGTTAGATCTCCTACTAACTTTCCTCATAATTTCTTTTGGCAGACTCCCTATAATTAGGTCATCATCCTTGGCTATCTCATATGGTTTGAATCTGCCTGTGGTTCCCCTAGAATACACAAGTCCATATATCTTTCTATTGGCCCTTTTTGCTACCTTATCAGCCATCTTGAAAACAGAATATCAAGCCTGAAACTTTACATAATTGAAGTGTTGTCAATATATAATCAGAAGGGAAAACAGAAGGTAGATAAAGAGTGCAAAATAATTAACTTAAAAGATAGCACCAAGTCATAGTAACACAGAACATGTTGAAACTCTAATCTGGTGATGGAATCCTTGATCTCATCCACAACCATAAATGCCTATTTGAGTTATTAGTTTGCAAGAACTTCTCCTCAACCCACAATTTGCATGACTTGGAATTCTGGAATATTGTCAATCAGATTACAATTGTTCCTAGTAAAATGCAAATTGTCCAAGCCCTTAAGAAAATTACTGAAAGTAAAAGTTCGTTCCTTAATAGAGCCTTGTACAACTCATGAGGAACCAGCTACCATCCATAACTAACACAACAGAAAGTGAAAACCATTGAACTACACAGCATCTATTTTTCTCAACCCCATAGATGAAGAAAGGACCCTAGGTATAATGGGCTAAATAATGTTTTAGTGGCTACAAGTAAAATGGCTGCAGAGAGGACCTAAATTATTAGGGATGCCCCTTGATCTAAACATTTTCCAAAAAAAAGATTTTCTAAGTGTTTATATTAAATTATACATGTTAATTGGAGATATATTGCATTGCTGATATTCTCAGAGGTTTAAAATGGATGAAATGGAATTGTTTTAGGCCAGTGGAGAGCAGCTTCCAGCAAAAATCTTAAAAGAAGCAAGGGAAAATATTTTGGAATGCTCATAATTTAGATGGTTGAGTATTGAAATGACCACATGTTGAAAAGAAATTAAGCAATTTGTATTGAACTTGAAATGATTCAAGAATATGCTATGTTTGGATGCATTTGAGAGTGGATTTTGATTTTATGTTTTATTTAAATTTTGAGAATGAAATGGACACAATATGCACAAATTAGCTAAGATTCAATATGCTTATACATTTGACAGGGCATAGGAGATAAATTTCAAATTCTCAAATACCTATAGATATTTCAAAATTCACCCCTAAAATAGGCATCCAACAAAATCAATGAATTCGAGAATAATCATGAAGGCACATTTACATGTGCTTTATCACACAATTTATACTAAATTTGAAAACCAAATCCTTTCTCTTAAATCCAAGTTTCCAAATGTAAACTAAAACTCAAGACAAAACATAGTATGTGGTGTCATCACCTAGTTCATTAAAATTACAACCATCTAACTCCATGGTTTCCAATAAGCTGGACTGATTCTCTGAAGTTTGTGGGACGAGAACACACCGGTTAAGCAGGTCGAAACAGAGAAACAAAAGCAGCTACATCAGGTATTTTCAAGTATAAAGTTCTTACATTTTCTCGGTTTAATGGAACTCTGAAGGTCAAATAGTCACCATGACCATTCTAAATGGTTAGAGAAAAGGTTTGTCAAATTGCATTGTGCGTAACTAGCCCATTATTCTCTTCAACTCTCTAAACCCTATTGTGCATGGCATTGAAGTTTTGAAATGAATTTGCAGGATGCCAGTTGGAAGCTTGTGTCGGTTGACAGTTACTATTTTGAATGCGTAAAATTACTTGTGCAATAACAATTGAGTTGAAAGAATATAACTTGAAACTTTTTCCTTTGGCATGTGGTAAGAAAGATCCTATTTTTTTAAGAGAAAATTAAAGAATGAGCTTGATCATGAAACATATCTAAACTTTATTTATTTATCTATTTTCACATCAGAAGAACCTGTATCATCAGAATTGATGACTAAAACTCAACAACACACAGAGCTAACTCATGTACAATGACGAGAACTAAGACAAGTAGAGTGAAACTAAAGCAGTTCAAACAAGGCATTTTTTGCTAATTCTTTTGAAGCAATAGTAACTTTAGAGAGGAATAGGAGAATGATAAACAAATATATAAGAGACAAATAAGCAAGGACCAGAAGACTGATACTGAAAACCCCAGATTCATCGGATAAGAAAGCTGGAAAACAACATTTACATCCTAACTCGTGACAAAAACCTTGTTAAGAGGAACTTGAATAAAACGAGTTGAACACATTCAAGACTGGCTTGAAACCAACATTACCAAAAAGTTGAATCCTCAAGTCAAAAAACCCCCAATGGCCAAAATTTCATCATGATTAAAGCTTAGAAAAAAATAAAACCCCTTCATATAGGAAAAACCTGACTATAGTCAAATGGTGATCAGATAATTCTATAGCATAAAGAAGGTAAAAACTAGGTTATTTTCAAGGGAATTATTAAGATGAAGTGTTATTACTGTATTTCTTTCAGGAATTTTGAAGTTCTGGGATACTAGAATTGCATGGAAGAGGAATTTCACAGAAATTCATATAAAGACTCAGCCTTGGGCCACAAATAAAAAAAACCAAACGCTCATTTACAAAAGAACTCCAATACAAAGAATTCATACAATTGATTGAACACCATAACCTGTACCTAGATTAAAAAGTAATACTTTAAAAATTGAAAACTTTTACATGCAAAATGAAGAAATAAAAAGGGAGGAAAAAAGAGTCAAGGCAGCTAACCTTGAATGCAGCCACAGAAACTTTGGTTTTGCAAACTTAGAAAACCCAAATGCTTTCTCAACTGAGACCCTCAAAAATGTGATACTGAAAAGCCTCTTTATTTTTATACAGTGAAAAACAAAAATACCCAAAAGACCAAAAATGCTTCTTGGAAACCCAAAAAAAAAAAAAAAGGGAAAAGACAGGACAAGCCTGAGTGCCTGAGTGTCAGTTTAAGTAAAGATACAATGTGCCAGGTGAGACTTGGATTTTGGTGGTAAGCTACAAGTATTGTATCCTTGTTGGGCTCCTATAATGTTACCTTTGGCTAGGCACACTCAAGGGCCATGTCAGCTTTGAAAAGTGGCGGGAATGCTGTTGGGTTTGACACGTGGCTAACTGTGTTGGGCTTTTCTGTTTAACTTGCAACGCAGCAGTAATCTCAGTTTCTAGAAATAAAATACAGCTTTTCCATTATAATGATTTTATGTAAAGAAGATGGCTTTTAAACACTCTTTTCTATTTTCTATTATTTCGTTTCTTGTTCCTAGACTATGTTTGCTTCTACATTTTTTGAAGTCTGAGAAAGCATAAAAACAAAAATACAAAAAAATAATAATAAAGGGACAATTTCGTAACGAGAGCAAGCATTACAAATAAGAAAAAAATGATGCATTGGAAGAAACGGAGAGAAAGACAGGACGGGTTCTTTAGTAACGAGAGGAAGAATTGTAAATAAGTAGAAAGAATGTACTCGAAGACGACGAAGAAAAAAACTAGAGTAGTTTTAAAGTATTAAATGTAGTGATAAGCGGTGATTGACGATGAATAAGGTTGAGAAAAGAAGAGAATCAAGTTAAGAAGGAAACTTGAAGGAGAGAATTGTAGAGAGTTTTGAAAGAATATTGTGAGAAATTTGTCTATAAGTATCATTTGTCTAAGTACCTTTTGTAGAATAACTATTAGTGAAGTAAATTTCGATCAAAGAATTTTCGGTAAAAATGTTGGTCGATGAAGGTGTCGATGATGTTCCTTAAAGAAATGTTTATGTGAACAACTATTCTCTAAGGATGGTGTTCTATGAAAGAGTTATTTCGTGAATAATTGTGAAGAGAAATGTATCAATATATAAAGTAATAGCAATGAAGTTTTAAAATTTTTAATTCTTTAAAGTTAAAATCAATTAACAAAATCATACAAACACATTATATATAGGTTTTGACCAAGGGTGATTACCTTTAATGCCAACTTTGATTTACTCTAAGGTAGTGATCACCCAAATTCTCTTGCAAACCAAAAGTTGTCTAAACATACTGTCTTTAATGGTGATTCACACGAATTCTTATAAAAAAACTTTTTCTAAGGATGGGAGGAACACAAACTATACTTTAGCTAATGAGTATTTCAAAAAATCCTTTTGTCTTATGTCTCAAGTTTGTTTTCTTTGAGTTGCTATTAACTTATTTTTTGCATCTAGCATGTTATAAGAAGGGTAGCGTGTATTCCTTTTGAAGATGAGAGTTTGGACAACTTAGATTTGTGCATAAATTGCGTTATTCATAATTAGCCATTATGCTAGCCAAATGTATATAACAAGAAGACATTGTGTCTATTATTTTATTTTTTGTATCTTTGGGTTTAATTCACACCAAATTAAATTCAACTTAATTTGTCTCAATTTTGATCTTTCACAATTGTTCTATTGTGTTTGACTCATTTGATTTCTTAGCATATTGATAATAAACATAAGCATTGTAATCTTTTGTATTTGACTTAGATGAATTAAACTTTTTGACTCTATCACTAATTCTTTAATTAGTCAATCTATGTTTATAAATTATGATAAATACTAGCTATATTATCATGAACCCCAATTGCTAAAAAAAGTCAATATGACTTGACAATCTATCCGTGAATGGTCTTAATGAATAATTAATATCCTTTCATTATTAAGCATCTCGATTTGAAATTGAGTATGGTTTACTATCTACTCAATCTTGTCCAATCCTATTAAGTTTTATCCTTGACATTAACTCACAAATATGCTTTAAAACAATTCTAAACTTTTGTTTCACTTTGGCCCAGGGTTGAGAAAAAATCGAACAAACTGAAAATTGTTTCGAAATCATAGTGTTTGATTCAGTTCAGATCGACTTTTTTCTTATTTAGTTCGGATCAAGTTTAGATATTAAATATGTATATTAAATTTAGATCTGATTTCGGATCAAAATGTGAAAATTTGAAAAAACCTGAACCAAATTATATATATTTCTTGGTTTATATATATTTTAAATTTTTATAAAATAAAAATAATAATTATATATAAAAATCTACTTAAGTATATTAAAATTTTATATTTAAATAGTATATAAAAATAAAAAATTAAATTTTAAAAATTGACAAACCAAACTGAATCTAACTAGTAAAATTTAATTTGGTTCAATTTAGATCATATAAAGCTTTGGATTGGATTTTAAAAATTCATAATATTATGTAATATTTGAAAAAACCAAACTGAATTCGATCCAATTCGAATCGTTATCTCGTTTACTTTGGTAAAATATTTTTCAAGTTAATTCAGTGAAGACTAATTGAGAAACTCTCTTGATCACATAAGATGATGAATCCTATCTTAATTACTTCATACATCTTCATACGTTTTATTTTATACATAACAATACTCGATTTGAGTAATTTTGGTCAGAACCATAAGTAAAGAAAAGTTAAAGTATAAAATTTATCACATAAGATCATAAGTAATTTCAAGTCAAATGATCACTTATATAACTATCACATGATAATGTAGATATAGACACTATATGAACTACCAAATAACATTCTCATTTCGGGTGATGTTCAGTGAACTTGTTCTTATAACAAACACCTATAACAGTGAACTTGTTCTTATAACAAACACCTATATGTTAGCTTAAGTTTACCTAAACTTCAACCTATGAAAATGGTTGCTTACTTCATAAGCAAGAGTACAAGCATGTGCTAATCTCAACAGCTTTTGTCGATATATTTTTATTGATAAAGCATCAACTAGGAACTATTTTAGAATATACAGCTTTTATGTAATGATGATATCATAATTACAATCTCATTATAATTCTTTTGTAAAGCTTGTTTTATATTCTTATGACATCATGTAAGCACAACAACCAAATATATACATATAAGCTTAATAATAAAACAATCAAGACCTTTATTAGATATCAAATACCAAAGTATCATAAATATGAGAATATTTTAATTAAAAAATGATTTGACTTGAAGGGCAAATACCAATAAGTTGTTCTATGAAATAATTATCCATGAATAGTTATTCTATGAAAGAGTTATTCCATAAACAACTGTTCTATAAAAGAATTGTTTTGTGAACAACTTTAAAGAAATTGTTTTATGAAAAGTTGTTCCATGAAAGAGCAATTTCATAAATAGCTTTTTCATGAAACAATCTTGTTATATGTTTAGAGTTGTTCCATGAAAGAGCTATTCCGTAAAACAATCTTGTTATATGTTCTGACTTAACCTCAATTTTAGCACTTTTAGAAAATTTTAAAGAATAAAATCGAGTATCTACATTTTGTTCCATGAATGAGAATTTTTAATATAAGAAATTCTCATACACTAGTAAAATGAAAGAGTAAAATAATATATGACAATAAATAAGATATGCTTGTTCTTATAATTTAAAGATGAATAATGAAAATCTTTTTAAAAATGTAAGTTAGAGTAGCGTTACCATGCATAAAAAATTATATATATATTTTTGTGGCTACACATATGAATGTTTCTTATGAAGCATTTCTTAGAAAAAATACATATAAAATTCTAAAAAATCACGATTTTAAATAGTAAAAAATATTCTTGAAACTATATGGAAAAACACTTATTGAAACAAGATGTAGGTACATTGTAAAATTTTTTACTATATTTAGGAAAGTGCATGAGAAGTGACTTTTAACTGCATACATAATTTTTTTTTTATTTTTTAGGTAAATTGTTTTGTTAAGAAATGTTTTTTGGCAATCACTTTTTAAATTGTAAAAAACATTTTTTTTTTACTTTGTAGTGATGCAAGAGATATACTTTTCAAAAATTATGAGTGAAAAATGATATTTTTTAAAAATCATCATTTAAATCTAGAAATCATTTCATTAGAAATGTTTCCTAAAAAATACACATGAATATTTCAATTGTTAAATTCTTAATAAAGAGTAGCATTTTTTTAAAAAAATCACATTAGAAGTATTTATTGAGATATTATGAGAATAAACAAAAGAACACTTAAAAAAAAAAAAGAGAATTACTTCTTTAAGTAGTTTTGAAAACACCATATTAGGATAATTCATGAAAAACTTATAATGATAAGAACTTTTTGAGTAATATGTGAGATGCTCTTCTCAAGAAATACTTCTTAATATGAAACATAATCATTGGCTAGGCATTTCTTAGACGGATAATGGCAAAAATCACTTTTTATGATGTTGTGTGAGAATATAAAGGAAGTAATTCTTGAAAAATGACCATAGAAGACATCTTAAGTTGTTGAACAACAAGCATTTTTAAAAAATGTTTTTTAAAGTAACACAAGAAATGCACTTCTCAAAAAAATCTTTAAGTGACATGCAAGTATAAGTTAAATGTTTCTTAGTATAGTAATAAGATATTTCTCGAGATGTTGCATAAAAAGTTTTTCACAATAAAAAGTATGCAAAAGATCTCAATTGTCAATTATTTTTCTTTCAGAAGAATTTGTATATAAAAGTAAAGTAATAACAATAAAAAAGTAATGTAAAATACTTAAATGGTCATTTCTTTTAAGAACTTGTATATAAGAAAATGTAGTAATAGAAAATACTATAGCAATGAATTTTATTTTGAGAAGAACTTGTATATAATGATAACAAATAACTTTCTATTTTCACAATAAAGTGATAAAAAACTTAAGGGATCATAACATTTAACTTTTTTTTTTTTAGGAAGAGCTTATAAACGAGAATGATGTAAGACTACAAAAATTTATTTTCCCTTAAAAATATTTTATATGTGATAAGGATGAAAATGGTGCAACACCACAATAATTTTTTTT